GAGGCAGAAGCAGGCAGATCTCTGTGAGTTTGAGGCCAGCCTGGTCTCCAGAGCGAGTGCCAGGATAGGCTCCAAAGCTACACCGAGAAACCCTGCCTCAAAAAACCAGAAAAAAAAAGAGAAAGAAATCCTGTCTCAATTAAAAAATAATAATAATAATGACAAAGGCTCCCTGAACGTGGGTGTCAGTTGGGGGGCCTGGGCAGTCTATGGGGCCCCTGGCAATGGAACCAGTATTTATCCCTAAGTCATGAATGAACTTTGGGAGCCGGTTACCTATGGATGGATACTCTCTCAGCCTAGATACACCGGGGAGGGCCTAGGCCCTCCCCCAAATGATGTGACAGGCTTTAATGATCCCCCATGGGAGGCGACACCCTCCCTGGGCAGTGGATGGGGAGTTGGTAAGGCCGGGCATGGGAAGATGGGAGAGAGAGGGAAGTGAGATTGGTATGTAAAATAAGATTGCTTTTAATTTAAATAAAGATTTATTTTTTAAAAGGCAGCTAAACATGAGCCTGGGCGAATGGACCAGCAAGCAGTCCCTCCATGTTTCTGCCCTCAGTTCCTGCCCAGGTTTCTCTCAATGGTGGATTGTTACCTGGGTGTATAAACCAAATAAACCCTTTCCTTTGCAAGTTGCTTTTGATCAGAGTGTTTTTTTTTTTTTTTTTCTTATCGCAGCAACAGAATGAAACGAGAACGAACAGATTAGAACTCAAACAAACATATATCACTCCAGATAGCGCTGTGCCCAAATTCTGATCCCCAAATCACCAAGAGAGCCATTCCGATGCAAAAACAAAGAGTCTTTTGTTATTAACGAGTTAACTGTCTTAACTTGAGGGCCCTTTGTCCGTTCATCAGGGACCCAGAGAAACCTGGAGGCAGGGAATTTATTGCGGTAGAGCAAGGGGAGTGTCTAGGGGGTCTGCAACAGTCTGAGGATTGGTGCATTTCCGGGCTTGGGCGACCTGTCCTGTGTTGATTGGTCAACTGGTTGGCATGGCCTATAGGCACTCACAGGGTGGTTACTATGCTTTGCATGTCACTTTTATGGTAAAGCACTCCCATAAAGCACACCCAAAGCTTGGTTCCTTGCCATGTGGAGGGTATCTGACCTCCTAGTGACTGGGAGGAGGGGCAAGGTCAGGCAAGCTGGTGTTGCTGAGTGTTTTCTGCAGCGGGTCATGGCTGCTACAGCAGATGGCTGGGTAAGGGTCTGATCCCTTCAACTGACAACACACCAAAGAAATGATTCTGTTATTGGTAGTTTTAGTCTTGACCATGTTATTTCCAGGCTGTTTGTTTGTTTCTGGTGTTTTGTTCAAGTAACCAAAGACATACACAAATGGTAAAGTTGCAAGGGGTTTTATTCCGAATGGAGGAGAAAATTCGGGTCAGATAGACTACAGGATCACAGCAGGCTACCCAAACTAGAGGGCTCAAGAGCCCCTGGTCACTGCCTGGGGCTTCCTTTTGCGGGTCTAGGAGGAGGGACTGGCTGCTAGGAGCAGGATGTAGGTGGCCTTTTGGATTTGATTGACAGGCTTAGCCTTTGCTGCATATGTCTTTACCCATGATGCATCTGATTTTAATCATATATAGGTATAATAGTGATTTCCCCTAGATGCTTATTCAAAGGATATATTTTGACTTATTACTTATGCAACCCAAACCTCTTGAGCCTGTATTGACCTACTTCAGTCAGTTTCGGGGTGTTTTTGTTCACAAAAGAGGAGTCTCCAAGCAGTTTTTAGGGAGGAATAACACAACGCATTGTTTGGAGCCAGGTGTATGTTTGCAGTGGGGGTTGCAGGTTGATGTGTGCATTGTGCGGAAAGCAGCGTGTATATTGCTCCAGCCAAGTGGAATTCTGGGTTGCTCA